TCAGCTCACCTGGAGTTGGGGTGGGAGCTGGTGGTGAGGCAGAGGGGTTCGGCGCAGCCCCAGGACGCCCACCTTCTCCCCCGACCCCACAGTGCAGTGCGGACCCCCCCCCACCGTCAGCAACGCCCTCGCCTTCGGCAAACCAAAGCAGCGCTACGAGATCGGCTCCATCACGCGCTACCACTGCCGCCACGGCTTCGCCCCGCGCCGCTCCCCCATCATCCGCTGCCGTGAGGATGGGATTTGGGAACGGCCCCAGCTCTCCTGCCGCCCCGGTGAGCATTCAGCCCCCTGCATCCCCACACCTCCTCTCGTGGATGGCTCTTCACTGGGGCTCTTTGCTTCCTGTGTCCCCCCCCCAGGGCTGGCTCAGCACTCCAAGGACTGAGTGAGCTGTCACCTTCCCAGGCCCCGGAGCGGGCATGGATGGGGATGGCACCGGGATGGCAATGCAGCACTGGAGGGCAAGAGGTGTCCTGGTGGGTGCCTGCCCTCTGCTTGTTTTATATCTGTACAAAGAAACCCCAACAACTAAAGAGTCCCTCAAAAGGAATCGCCAGTGACTCGTGCAGTGTCTCACCTTGCACCGGGGCTGTTTGAGTCCCAGAATGGCAACAGAGTTAAAATCAAGGAGGAGAAGATGGGGGTGGGGAGGGTTGGGGGGAAGGCAGGTGACAGCTTGGACATGGCAGCATCGCCTCCAGCTGCTGCTTCCCCCCTTCTGTATTGAGACAGCAACATGGGGAAGGGGACACTGAGGCTGTGTCCGGGACATGGCCACACTGCTGGATGCATGCATCTCAAGCCCCCTCCATGTTTCTGTGGAATGAAAGCAAGGAAATGGATGGCACTGAGAGATCTGTGCCAGCAAGCACATGGGTGGGAGAGGCAAAGGTACACAGCCTCAGAACTGGGAGTGGGGGACACAGAGTGGAGCCATGGGGACCAGGTCGATGCTGGAGCAGCCTGGGCACAGCGATGGCCCCTGAGCCACAGGCACAGGGAGGAGCAGCCCAAAGTGTTCCCATGTTGATGCGTCCCCACGCTGTTTTCTCCAGCTGTATCCCAAACCCAGAAACCCCTGTGCGTGGTGCCAGGGACACCGATGACACCAGGACACTGCGGGGGGAGTGCTTGAGTCCTTGGCAAACCCCCCTCACTGAGTGGCCAGGCGGTCCCAGAGGCCGCTTTACTGTCGCTTTATTAATTGAGAAAGCGAAACTCCATTAGTCACACTCGTTAATGCCTGGCTTTCCAGCATGCCTGCACCAGCCAAAGTCTGCATGGCCGTAGGAAGCGAGGCCAGGGCCAGGGGTGCACTAAGGTTGGGGGGCTCAGGGAGCCTGCCGTGCCCACCGGGGCTGGACCAGACCCCCTCAATTCCTGGGCTGGAAATGGTTCTGGATTCTCCATCAAGCCTTGAATGCCTACAAAATTCTGAGGCGGCTGAGTGCGGGGAGCAGCTCCATTAAATGCACAATCCCCCTCAGACTCAGCCCCGTCAGAGGGGATGCACAAACCCTCCACATTCAGCCCATCAGAGGATGCACAAGTTCCCCCAAATTCAGCCTCATCACTCCATCAGAGGATGCAAGCACAATGCCCCAGAGACCCCTGTCCCACCTTGAGCTCTCCACTCAGGTGACAAGAGCCGGTGCCACCCCTTTGCCTCTGCCCACCTCTCCTATGTCCCCACGAAGCAGTAGGTGCCGTAGGTCCGCAGCTCCTTGCTGGGGAAGCCAAAGCTGCGGACACCAGGCTCTGGCAGACCCCCACAGCGCTGCCGGGGGGTGGTGATGGGGTATCGCACGCTTCCATCTGCCAGCCACCCCCCGTCACAGCGATCCAGCCCCAAAAACTTCCACGCAGAGTAGAGCTGCCCCACTTTAGCAATGGTAGCACCGTGGTTGCGGCACGCTTGCCCGGCTTCCTTGAAGTTCAGGTGGCCTCGGATGAAATAGACCTCACCTGGGGATGGGAGGGGTGGGGGGAAATAACGGAGGGTGATGACTCCATGAGCAGCCCCAGTGTCACCACACAGGGCTGGGGGATGCTGGAGGTACCTTGCAGTGCAGAGGTGAAGCAGAAGGCATCAAAGCGGTCCCGCTGCTTGTCCTTGGCCCCATAGCTGCGGATGCCTGGCAGCAGGAGGCGGCCGCCACACGGCTCCCGTGAGTTGATGATGGGGTAATGCACGGTGCCATCCAGCACCCAGCCAGCGTTGCACCAGTCCAGCCCCTCCATCCAAGCTGCGGGGTGGGCAGAACCTCAGCGTACCATAAGAACAAAGCGGGGCACAGAAGGGATGGGGGACGGCAGCCTGGGTGGAAGCCTGGCCAACTCAGCATCATCCCTACCAGCAAGGTAGATTTGGAGCAACAGAAGGATTTGGGATGCTGCAGGATAGTACCTTTGTAGAGCTGCTGGTAGGTGGCAAGCCGGGCATCCTGCTGCTCGCATGCACGCTTGGCTTCGTGGTAGTTGAATCTATAGCGCCCATTGATGGGCTGGTAGGGGAAGACAACACCTAGAGGACAGGGACAGAGGGACACGCTCTCACCATGGAGGTTTGGCTGCTTGCCCCCAGGGACCTGGTGCTGAGCAGGAGTCTGGGGGAAGTGGCTTTGCAATGGGGACCCATTGGAGCCTCCCCATATCCCTCACCCTCCAGGTGCAGCGTGAGCGAGACGCTCTCATCCTCCAGCCCGTTGACCAGCTGGCAGCGGTAGCGTCCCTCATCCTCCAAGGTCACATCGGTGATGGTGAGCGAGGCATCATAGCGGTGGCTGTGCCGCAGGCGCACGCGGGGGCTCAGCGGCCCGTAGTTTTTGTGGTACAGCCCGTTGGTGATGATGATAACGTTTTCCCCATAGTTGGCTGGCTCCACTTTGCTCCACTTCACCCGGTAGTTGCGGGGCAGGGCGCGCAGCACGCAGGGCAGCGTGGCCGTGGCACCTCGCTGCGTGTGCACGGCGGTGTGCAGGGGCTCCAGCAGGTACTGCAGGCGTGGGGTGGCTGCGGGGCACCAGCTCACCTCTAGGCATTGCCACAGCCCCACTGCCCCTCAGCACCTCCCCACCACCCTCATCAGCCTGGTTAACAGCAACCATCCCACCTCATTTCTCTGCTGCTGCAGCCTCCAGGATGCTCATCCCAGCCCCTGCCCAAACCTCCCAATACCGTCCCCAAGCAGAAGTGTCCTGTCCCCATTCCCGCTCCCTACCAGGGCTCCCTGTTGGCTTCTGGAAGATGCTGGAGGTGGGGGATGCTGCCAGGAGCCAGAAGGATGCAAGCAGAACCCGGTGCATCTTTAGAGCTGGGAACTGGAGAAAACCTGGGGGGAGCAAAGGGATCAGGGCCACGCAGCAGGACAGACTGGGGGATGCAGCAGGGAGATGGACAGCAACCAAATCATCTCAATGTTTGCCCTGCAAAGTGGACATCACACAGGACACCGATGATCTGAGAGGTGCCAAGCACAGAGATAAGTAAGAGCAGCCCCCTCTCCCGCCACCACCATCATCAGTCCCCATCACTCCTTACCGTCCTCAGGGGAGCTGCTGTGCCCATCCACCACCGCCTGCCTCCTGGCTCTGTCACAGCCACCCCATCTCAGGATGAAGGGCTCTGGAAAGCTCAAACCTGTGCTGCGATGCTGCTGGGAAGAGGGGACACAGGACACGAGGACACAGGGACGGCTGTGGGTGCTCCCAGCTGGGTCCTGCCCTCCCCGTGAGCCTGCACTGCTGTCACCGTCACCATTGCCATCCTGGGGCAGGCAGTGCCCCAGCAGCCCCACGTCCCGCTCCCATGATCAGCTGTGCTCTCGCTCCCTGCCCTGTGCCCGTCTCTTCCCGTTTTCTTCTCCTTTCTTTTTTTCTTTTCTTTTCTTTTTTTTTCCTTTTTATTTTTTTTCAACACCTCCCCGAGGAACGCACGGGGAGGAGGAAGCACAATTTCCCATTGTGGGCATCTTTCTCTGTATTGTTCTGCTCGGCAAAACACAGCGCTCGCCAGCTAACAAGCATCCCTTTATTCACAGGCCACAGAGTAAGAGAATTCAGGGAAAATGTCAGCACCATGCGGGGCTCCGCACCCCCCATTGCAGGCACAGATCCCCTCCGTGCTGCTCCCCGTGAAATTCTGCTCTTTGCTCCCACAGCCATCAGTGCTGATCAAACCCACGCTCCCTGCATGGAGTCTCTGGCTCTGGGGCTGCTGACGCCACAATCTGGGGGGGGTCCCCCCACCCTGACACCCCCCCAGCCTCACCCTGCCCAGTGCAAAGCCATGGCAGAAGCTTTGCTGCTGTCACTTTGGGGTTGGGATGGTGCGAGCAGCAAAACAAGGCCAAACAATAGGGCTGTGTTCTGGGTTCCCTTATCAGCTCCCTCCCCCAGGGTGCATCTCCAGGACTGGAGGAAGCTCATCGCACACGAATGCAAACAAGCGTCCGTCTGTCTGTCTGTCCTAGCTGAGGACACAGCGATCTTGGCATTCACAATGCAAAAACAGCCCCTGGGTGGGAAGCAGAACTGTGCGTGCTGTTCTAGGAGGCTTCCCCTGCCCCAAGCTTCTGCCTCATTTTGGTCAAAGCAATCACCCTGCTCTGGGCACTGCAGGCCCCCAAGGACCCCACACTTCAAACCGCTGTGAACAAGAAGGGGACAGTGCCCTGCTACTCCAGAATGGGTTAAAAAACAACAGCAGATGCTACTCCCCAGCTCTCCCATGGATCTGTACCCAAAACAGACCCTGAGCACTCCCAGCAGTGCCCGGTTCAGCAGTGCCCGGCTGCAGTTCAAGGCTTTCCAGCACTGCAGCACAATGGCCAGGCTTTCTGGTGGTTGCATTTTTCCCACATGAAAGCAGTAGCTACACCCCAAAGCAGCCCTGACTCATCCCTGCCCGGCATCCGTCCTTCCCACCCCCCCCCTCCCCCCTTTGATTTGGGCAGTGTGAGATCACAGTTTGGCTGCACCAACAAAGCACCCGAGCCACTTCCCCCAAAGTGGCCGTACTTTACTTGTCAGCTCCTTCCTCTTCCTCTTCCTTCTCAGTGCAGGACAAACAACTTCACCAAAGCAAGGCAAAGCAAAAGAAAGGCTCTGCTGCAGCTTCTCAACCCCAGAGGGAACCAGCTCTGCCAGCAGCCCCAGGTTGCTTCTTGCCCTCATTTTCCTGGGCTTTTCCGGGCAGGACTTGGCCTCGCAGGCGTGGTTTGCAGGCAGACTTTGCAGGCAGCTCTCAGCCGCTTCGGTGAGCTCTGCAGCATGGCTGAGCGTGCTGCTGCAAGGCTGCACCTCTCTGGGCTGTGCTTCTTCCTCCAGCTCCTCACCATCGTCCTCTTCGCCACCTTTGTCCGCTACAGTCCGGAGAGCTCCAACCTCTGCTCCACGGAGCCAAGCTGCAGCCAGAGAGACCCCAGCCCGACTTTGGGGTACCCCCGTGAGTACCCTGACCTCTGGGAGGGGGGTAGAAGGAGGGCACGGGGAGCAGCTCCGCCTGCCTCACGCTCCTGGCACGGGTGCAGAAAGTTGCTGCGCTCGGCTTTTATCCCTAAAAGAGAGCAGAGGTGGACATGGGGATCACGGGAGGTGAAAGCCTGCCATGCGCCCCCCTCCCCGACCAGGTGCTCCTGGAATTGCAGGGACTACAAACTCCACCCACACGGGTTAGCAGCACCAGGAGATTGGCACCGAGCCCCTCGCACAGTGCCATCCATCCAGACCCTACCCCCGGCCCCTCCTGGCCACCTCCCTCCCCACGCAGCAGCACCGATGCGGTTGGCCAAGTGTGGGCCAGTTCTCCCAGTTCCGCCCACATATCCACACCTGTATGCTGACTCACCTGTTCCAGCTATGCAAAGGGAAGAATGTCCCAGAGCAGGACGTGGGTCTTCTGCTTGATGTCACTGCCAGGTGTGGGGCAATGGCACTGCTTGCTTGCTGTGCGTGTTGGGTCCCTGTTTACCCCTGATGTTTGCTGAGCAGCAGGGGAGTCCCTGACTATGGCTGATATCTCCAAACACCCCTGTGTCAGTGTTAGTAGTGTGGACAGGGCTACACAAGCTGCTTTGAAAAGCTTCCAGTCTGTGGGGCAAACCATGTGCATTTATGGGAACTGCTGCTGGGAGGTGACACGGTTCCCTGTTGTGCTGGGACATGTGTGGGTGGAGAAGGCTGATTGCCATCAGCTTGAAGGCTCCAACACCCCCAAAACCTTTTTGACCTCAGGCTATCAGGTGGGGGTCACTCTCACCCAAACCCAGGACCTGCCTGCGGTGCCTCATAGCCCCACTCTGCCTCCTGCCAGGGTTCCGGGATGCCCACCTCCGAGCTCTCCTCGGCTTTGGCTTCCTTCTGGCCTTCCTCAGCCGTTACGGGGTGGGCAGTGTGGCTGGCAGCCTCCTCATCGTGGCCTTCACTGTCCAGTGGGCCATACTGGCCCAGGGGCTCTTTTACTTCTCCCAGAACAGCAAGATTTACGTGAGCACTCAGAGGTAAGGCTGGAAGGGCGCTGCTGCTCCGATGCTGCCCAGCCCAGCTCCATCCCTTGCACACTGGCTCCCTCCTCTGTAAAACTCACTGCTCTGCTCTCGAGGAGTGTTGTGAGGACCAGGCTGCTAGCTGAGCATCAGCCGAGTGTTTAGGGGAACGCTGAGACCCATTTGCCCAAGCCATGCAAGCCTTGCCACCGACACAGCAAAATTCGGGCTGCCCATTCAGCTTGCAGGAGCAGGGTGTGGAGCGTGGGTTGGAGAGGCAGAGTTTGGGTTGTAGGGGATGGCATGTGGGATTCAGGCTCAGCTCCAGTCGACTCACTCTCCCCAGTGCCTGCCCTTGCCTTGGCTGCTCTGGATCCAGCTCAGTGCTTTGCCTCTCCTTCCCAGCATGGTCAGTGCTGACTTCTGCACCGCAGCCATCCTCATCTCCACTGGGGCTGTTCTGGGCAGGGTGAATCCCATCCAGATGCTGTTGATGGCTCTGCTGGAGGTGCCTCTCTTTGCTTGCAATGAATACGTCCTGCGGAGCCTCCTGGGGGTGAGTCACCCCCCCAGAAAGGGAATAGTCGGGGTCTTTGTTTTGATTCCTGTCATCAAGACCTGCCTTGGCCATGGGCAGATCCCATACTCTGCCCTGCACGGTGCTTTCTCTACTTGCCAGGTAAGCGACAGTGGAGGCTCCTTGACCATCCACACTTTTGGTGCTTATTTTGGCTTGACGGTTTCACGCGTCTTGCACCGGCCCCACAAGGACAAAAGGAAAGAGCAGCAGGACGTGGGGCACCAGCCCGATCTCTTTGCTGTGGTTGGTATGAAGCTTGAGCCCTACAACACCAGAATCATAGGAGTGGTGGGGGGAAGGACTGCCACCAATGCTAGGACTCGCAGTCGTGCCACTGCATGTCTGAGGATGCAGACCTCCAAGGATGGAGATTCTCCACCTCCCTAGAGTTCTCTTCCAAGGAAAAAAGCTTTTCCTCCTGTCCAGCCCAGACTGCTCACACTGCCAGCTGTGGCCATTGTCCCTTTGTACATTGCTGGCACCAGCAAGAGGAGGTTCTTTCCCTTGAGAGAGCAACCTCAGTGCCCTCATGTGCCCACTCACCTCCCGCAGGAACCTTTTGCTTGTGGATCTTCTGGCCCAGCTTTGCCTCAGCCACCACAACCCACGACAGCGCCGAGCCCTGGGCAGTGCTGAACCTCTACTTCTCTATGGCAGCGAGCACCCTGGCCACCTTTGTCCTCTCACCTATCCTGTATGAGGAGGGCACACTGCAGGTGGTAGGTCCTCTCCTGAGACAAAGCCAAGCCCTTGTCCATCCCGCAGGGATGGGAAGCATGACAATGTCCAAGGGAGCACAAGGGGATGCTGGTTTGCTTTTTTGGGTTGGATAAAACCCTAAGCTCGAACCCTATGGAAACCCAAACCTCAGCCCCATGCCATGAGGACAACCCCTCTGTGCTGCTCCATTCAGGCCCAGCTCCAGGATGCCACCTTGGCCAGCGCAGCCGTGATGGGGATGGCAGGGGAGATGCTGTCCACCCCCTTTGGGGCTCTCACAGCAGGCTTTCTGGCCAGCCAGCTCTGCCTGCTCGGCTCCAGGTTCCTCTCGGTGAGTCCCCTTGTGGCAACGAGGTCCTGCACCTTTGGATCCAGGGGAGCTGCGTGCCCAACTCAGCCAAAACAGCGGGCAGTTGAGGGGGGAGCATTTCCCCCACCCTAAACCCAGCCTCTTCTCCGTGCATCCCCCAGCCCATCCTGCGATCCAGGCTGAAAACCGAGGACACGTGTGGAGTGCACAACATCCATGGGCTGCCGGGGATCCTGGGCACCTTCCTGGGGACACTGCTGGCAGCATTGGCCACCGCGGATGTATACGGCGACAGGTGAGAAGAGCCGGCACCGGGGAACGCTCCGACGTAGGGGCTGCTCCGGTGCCCCCCGTAGCTACAAGCAGAGCCCACGGCTCCGTTCCCCGCAGGCTGCAGCTCGTCTTCCCGCTGGTGGCCGAAGGCAGCCGCACGAACGCTGAGCAGGCGCAGTGGCAGCTATGCGGGCTGCTGGTCACCCTGCTGTTGGCTGCCTCCGGGGGCGGCCTCACGGGTGAGTTTCAACCCCGTGCATTAAAAAAAAATAAAAATAAAAATAAAAAT